AAGCTATAATTCTGTTTGCTTGATGTTTAACATGATTTCCACATTACGGCTAAAAGAAATTATAAGCAGTTTTGGAATGTTTTCTGTAATGAAAGCCAATGGTTGGAAGCACAAACAAACATACAGTGCAAATACTAAAGTACAGCTTCAGTATCGCAGATTTTGTAAGGATTTAATGATCTGCTTAGTTGCAGAGTTAGCTTACAGCCTCAAAATCTCAAGCAATTTGCCATTTTATCCACTGCAAATGAAAAACTGCTATTAAAAAAAAAAAGTCCTTTTATAAGTAAAGAAAGACAAACTGAACTGCAATTTAAACGTACCATCCAATTATCACAAAATTAAAAACAAATAATGATATTGAGAGACCCAGCTCGAGTGTTTTTTTTTTTTGGTTTTGTTTTGTTTTTAAATATCATATTATTATATCAAGTAGCAATGTTTAATTCTGTGCATTTGGTATACTATTTTTTTTTTTTTTACTCTTATGCAGCGGTGCATAAGATACAATACAAAATACAAAAGATAGCATAGCTCATGAAAAGCACACAGATTAAAAGACTCTGAAGTACCAAAGGGCATGAAGATTGATATTTGAACTCTAATTAATAATGGTCAAACATAGCGATAATGCATTTTACTCGTTGTTCATCCCTCCTCCCTGCTCCCCACCATGATTACATTTGAAAAGTTCATTCTGGTTCCTCCAACACTTCCACTCAACTAAAGCTAAGGCTGACTGTTTGCTGTTGCTAGGATATAACTACTGCAAATTGCACATGAAATGCATATATGTTCTTGTTTCTGTGCACTGTACCTGATGCACTCTACAAGTTTTTTTCCATGCTTCCAAGATCTCTATAGAGTCATCTTGTCATCTTTTACCATACATAAAAATGGCTTATATCAGAAGCAAAGCAGTAGTGGTATTTGTTTTGCTCGCTGCATTGTAAAGAGTAACTGGATTTTCAGTTTTGAAATGTTATAGCAGAGAATAAGAACCAAAGGTAGAGGTAAGAGGATGAAAGGAAAGATGCACACACAAGGTAAGCTGCATAAAATTATCTAGCTCCTGATTTACTTTTCTCTCTAGATTAAAAAATAAGCAGGTGACCGAAAAGAAAAACAAACAAACAAACAAGCAAACAAGAAAAAATGGTCTTCACAAAATCTTCCCAAAATTTATCTCCTAGATCTTCCATGCCAGATATGAAAGCCAGAGAAGTAGTATAACAAACGCAGCATGACAGGTAACCCACTCTTGGTTACAGAGCTCCTCTGTACAGGTAACAAACCTCAACATCAGTGGTTTAACCATCTAGCAATTCTTGTATTCTTAAGTAGTTCTGTTTTTAGCTACAGAGTGTAATAAAAGTAAAAATAAGTCTCACAGAACTGACAGTGGAATTGCAGCACAGCGTACTAAACTCATTCTGAAAACATTCCAGACTAGGGGAGCACAACTTCAAATTAGTGACAATACACTCCATTAGCAAATTTGATAATGATGTGTCCACATTGCAAGAAATAGTAATTAGTCTTGTGTGTTAAAGATCTCCTTTTAATTACTAGCTTACAATATCACAAAGCCAAAACTGCATTTTATACATACACATATACTATATGCAGTAACTCTTCATTAAAAGAAAAAAATCTTTGAAAGATTACATGAAGACTGCTAGAACATTTCATAACAAACCATAAAAACTGAAACCAACGGCAGAAAAGAAAACACTACCAGGAAGGTTCTAACAACAATTTCAATTAATAATTAATAGAGAAATGAAAAAAAACAAAACAAAACAACCATATATCATCCCAATAAATCTTTTGTTAGGCAATCAGCACACCTCTGCAATAAGGCAAAGCATAGTAATACTGCAGCACAGAGCAAAAAGAAAGCTCTCCTGTTACCCCGATCCACCTACCAACCTGCCTGCAGAAGAAGAACTTACCAATATTGCTGCTGGGGAAGGGGAAACACCCCCTTGCTCCTCTTTGGATTTTTAACACCCAAAGCCACCTGTCTGCAGTTGCAGGAAGATTTCAGAGGCATGATAACAAGCATTTCCTAATGAGAGATTTCTTCACTAATTAAGGCATTCAAATTGAAGATAAATACCTTATCTACAAAATTACAGCTGCAACCTCTCTTGTTATGCTTATTCCATTAAAAGGGACGGGATATGACAATAAATTAAGCCCCAAATACAGCTACCTTAAAAATGAAGCCAGTGTCTTAAAATACTTTGAAATTCACTGCTTTAGCATCTCATATATACCACCACTTTTTTCTTTTTTATTTTCCATTCCTATTTCTGATTGCTTTTTACCTTCACCATAAGAAAAAAAAAAAAAAATGAAAAGGTATGACGGGAAATGATGCAAATCACAGGTTCCCCTGCAGCAGCTGGAAAAACAGCAGAACTTTCCTTCTCCCCACGACAGGAGCGCGCGGGGCAGCGGGCGGATGAGTGATGATGGCGGCCCGACCGGACAACGGTAACCCTGGCAACTGTAACCTGCAATTCCTGCCCAGCCATTGTGGGATTTATTGTGGCAGGGGCCAGAGAGGCCAAGAGTAAAATGAAGCAGAGACTATGGTGTCTGACACATCTAGTACCACACACTTTAATCATAGCTGGCAGAAATTAATTCAGAAGGAATTTTTGCAAGGGCCCCCCATGCAGCGTGGTTTGTTGTTGTTGTTCTTGCTGCTGCTGTTCTGCCTACGATTATTTTTAAAAGTTTTTATTTTTTCCCTTTTTTAATGTTTATGTTTTTTCTTTAATTATTAACTATTTGACTTTTCTTTTGCCTTCAGGTCACCAACAGACATCTCAGAACCATTTACTTTTCTGTCAGAGGAGATATTTCTTATTCATAACATGTTTCTTTTCAAGTACATCATATTAGACATCTTTCCTTTCTAACATGCAAAATCAGACCATGTCAACAAGAAAGACTGCTTCTTTCAAAGCCAGTGTTGCCAATTCATACAAAAAATACTGGTCAGTAAGGGAACTTCACCTCCTTCCAAGTGCAAGAAATGAAAACTAAAAGGGACAGGCTTTGTGTCTAGAATCCAATACCCTTTACATGCCACTGAAAGGTATCTTTTAAAACCAAATTCTCCAAAAGCATTGGGTCTGGTCCTCGGTATCCTGCAGCAAACGGCAATCAATGAGCTGTGCTCTAACCAGCCAAAGAAAGCAGTCAAAATCCATTTGCCTCAGCTAAGCCCTCTCCAGCTCCCTGCATTAAAGCACCCTCATGGATGCTGGGTGAGTCACTGTGAGCAGGCACACGGGTCACTGGAAACAACACATCCTGTGCTTGCGGGAAAAGTACTTGTTGCAGCAGGACTTGTATTACCCCGTGGGATTTACAACAGCACCTATATTTTAACATTATTGCGTCAAAACAGAGGTTCATGTACATTTTTCTTTGAAAGAGATCTTGCAAGGTAAGATTAATATACCCTTCAGCACTAGTCAGACTATTTTTAGCATACTACTTCCTATTGAAATGTATGTGTCAAAACACCTCTGCAGATAACTCTTAATGGGAGAATCAGTTTCTGCTTTGACTAAATTATCCATTTTAACCTGTTCCAAGAGATTTCTCAGAAGGCTGATAAATCTGAAAGAAAATAACCTGAAAAATAATTCATCTAATTACCTTTGAAAATAGAGTCTCCAGACATGGGAAATAATGCACTGTCTCTTTTAAACTCTCAACCTATCGCTTTCCTCTACTTACACTTCCCATCTGTCAACAAGTGCTTGTAATTTTATTACACTGTCCTGTAGTTTATGCAGAGTTGGTATTATTTTACAGAGTTCTGTTAATGGACTGGATAAATGGTAATGCTATTTAAACTAGTCTCTTGCTCCAGCAAACACAGCTGCAACTGTACTACTATTTCTAGGCAAACATCTTGACCTGAACATGCAGTGCTCTCTCAACCCGTCCAAAGAGAAATTGGAGCAGACAGCAAAGGGAAAGCATAGCCGGCCGCTGGCGGCAACCAACTGTGTCTAATCATAATTCATATACAGTGTACCCTCTTTCTTTTATATTGCATTTAGGCTACACAACAAGCATATGTGCTTCTTCACCTGGCATCTCATTTACAGCCAAGGGTCAAATGGTAATTATTATTCACAGAAGCTCAACAGTATGCTGAAAACATGCAGTGCACACAATGTTTGATTAGCTGTTAAATGCCAAAAATAAATACTAAACCCAAAGTCTATTGTACATTTTATTGATCATGTTTAGAGAACATTTAATTCTCCTTCAAGATATATTCAATTGGATATAAATATGCATAAGCACTTAAAACAACAGATGCAAAAAAAAAAAAAAAAAAAAGACTCTATACTACTCAAAGTGGTCAAACTATACATAATCTGAAAGTTGACCAAGTAAACATTTAATTACTGTCAATCCTTTTGTTAGACATTTTTTAATTACAGATTTAGTTTAAGCAACCACAGATTTTTAGTATCATTCTTATTTTCTTTTAAACATGAATACATTATAACCAGACATTCACTTTCATGGTCTGATCAACAATAACCCTTAGGCAGAAGAAATTTAATACTGTGAAGACAGTGATCTCTTACTTTCCACCATATACACTATGAGCAGTTGTGTGCTTTGTCAAAAGATATTACAGATTTAAGACTAGCTTTTATCAAATATACAATTCTGAGTTAAATATATTCAAGTATGATTTTGCCTGAAGTGTGCATCCTTTTTTTTTTTTTTTTTTTTTCCTCCTGCAAATTATGGCTCATTTCTATTTTATACAAATTTAGATAACAACCTTTACACTATAGGTGGAATAATAAAATGATCATAAATCCCTTTCATTTTCCTTCCTGATGGAAGTAATATCTCTGTGATTGCTGATGGAAATCATAGAAGAAACTGAACTGTTAATATATATAAAACCACACATGAATATATTATAATATAATAGCAGAGAAAAAATGTTTTTGTTTGTCAGAACAAAAGCCTTCAGGAGCTTTCTGGTCTAGTAATTTAACAACTCACTGCATCTACAGGGAAGTTCAAGAAACAACATGCATCCAAAGCAAACAAAAGAAACAAAAATACACAGAAGTAAACGTTTATACCAATAATAGCATCATTTTCAGTTTACCATTTCAAATTACCAGAATAGGGGGAAAAAGAACCATTATTTTGCAATATTAGAACAGAAATCAACTCCTAAAAAATAAAAGCTTCATTATATCATTTGTTCTCAGGAACATTTTCATAAACTAAAATGAAAACAAATCAGAAGAACTCTGCCTTCCTCCACCTACACATATTTTTTCCAAGCACATAAAGGATGAAACTCAAAAACAATGATTTCAACAGCAGAAGTCTCACCTGAACCCTAAATGAAAGTGTCGAGTAGATATATTTAACTAAAATAGGGCTAAACTTCTACCATCTTTTAAAAGCCTATGTAAGTATGTCACGTATCCCATTCATACCTCATCTTATAACATAATGTTGCTTTGTAATGTATTTTGTTACAAAAAGTGATTGTATGGATAAATGCAGAAATTACTGTCTGAACTTAATTCCATGTTGATACTGCAGCATAAATGAGTGGGTTCTTAAAATAGAGCCAGAGGATCAAAATACTTGAAAAAATCTGCCACGAGTAAAAGATTATCAAACCAAAGAAAATAATCAAACAACAACAACAAAAAAACTTATCCAATTTGCTATCATTTGTATTTATTGTAAAACATTTCATAGCTTTTTCTATCCTCAGGTTATGTTGTGACCTTTCTTTTCTTTCTGAGGGACACAGGAGATATCTCCACAGGCTACCATTTGTCAATGCTGATTTTTCTGGTAAAGTGTGTAGAGCCATAAAACCAGAACATAACAAAGACAAAGTGCTGTACAGTGCTATATTGCTGGGCCATGATCTCCACAGTCATACAGCTATTTTAACAGAGGAAGCAAGCAAAGAAACAAAAATGCACCCATCCACCCCAGACCAAACAGGAGAAAAAAAAAAAAACGGAGCATTCCTTCAAGGAGAGTTCTTAACAGAAACAGGAAAGGATGAAACAGTATTTAGTCTCAAACAAGTATCAGTTTCTAAACTAAGTTCTAAACAAAATTCCTGCTAAGTAGTCAAAGTACTTAAAAGATCAGTCTTAATAAAGGTATTTTGGCTCAGTTTGAGGCAAAAGACAAAAACCCAATGCAATACAAAACAACACCATGTTTTCCAGAATAACTGAATCGTGCCTACTTACAGCCTGTATAACTTCGGCGTCCCCAGAAAAAGCAGCTCAGAAAGCAACTGGAGGTTATTTCTGTTTAGGCGCCTTTTGAAAGAAAAAGAAAAGGTTGTGTTAAATTACAACTGGAGAGCTTCAACAATACAGTGCATACACTTTGAGCAGATCACTGTGCTGTAACAAGCTGATCTTAAAGGCTATAATGCTGGTCCATTAGCGGAGACATGGTCCAGCAGTAAATTTACCATGGACTAATTACATTTTCTGGTTTCCCCAACAGACTGTATTACCTATTTCATTTTATGAAAGATTATTTTGAATTTCTGTAGTGTGAATCAACCATTAAGTCAGGATTCTATCCTGCATAACCAACCAGAAAACTAAAAATACAGAGCCAGCAGAGTAACTTCAATCTTTCTCCAACTCTTTGTTCCTCTTGGTATAATGAAGTGAACACACACACATTTTCTGACCATGAAATACTGTTCAAAGCAACATGTATCAAGTGCATGCACTTAGTTAAATAATGAGACAATGTATCTACAGACCCTTATAAACTATTTCAACAACAACAAAAGAAACAAAGCTGTTACAGAAACTCTGATCAAACAAAAGCAAGAAAATCATACAGTCCCAAATTAAATTCAGCATTACAAGTTTGATCGTATTTTTAGTTTTGTCCACAGCTATAAAATACACCAAAGTTAAATATTTAAAAAATAAAAATCAAAAAAAAAATCAGTTGTGTGTCAGATACATAAAATACTACAAAAGAAAAACTGCAGCTGGGATTTGAAAATACCCATTTGCCTATGAGTTTTCTGATGGAATACGCTGACCAGTGTCAAACCTGTTTAGCTTGAGGTAACAAGTCCCCTGCAGTAAAACCATAAGCAACAGAACAACACCTCACAAAGACAAATGTGTTCCTTTTTCATGATTATTTAATTATTTATTTAACATATAGTGCAGATTATTCTTTTTAAGTGACAGCCCTGGAGTAGCACACAGTCATATCATTCAACAATTCAAACTCCAAACAGGTTTTTATTAAGGAATGCAACACACATGCCACCTGCCATTCAAGCAAAGCAGCATACTGAAAAAAGTGCTTCCTCCTAAGAACCTCATCACAAGTCCTAGTTTGCAATGCACAGTGCTTCTCAATACACTGCTTCTAAGGCATTCCTGGCCACCAGACTGCACAGTATGGACTGTTATTTATTTTATCCCTGCATTAGTTGCATTACTTAAATCAATACGTATTTACCAAGACATTCCACAAGGTGTAAAAGAAAAAAAAAAAATTCAAAAATGCAACAAGTCTTACAAAGATACACTCAGCATCACTTTAAAAGTATATTTCATGGGTCAAATACTTGTGTTAGCATGTAACTTTCCATATTTAGATCACCAGTTTCTATTAGCACCTGCAGTTCACACGGTCCACACAACTGCGTACACATACTGTTAACAAAGGATGCATGTGCTGCTGTACAGACATTAAAATTAAATGCTGGTAATAAGTCAAATGCATGAATTAATCAAGCACTCATAGAAGTACATTCATGACTCAATAGCTTCTACCAACTGAGCTTGACACTTAGAATTAAGTGTTTCAATCTACACTTTCACTTTGCCTTTCAAAAATTAAAACATTCATTCTTTGGGCACTAAGTGAATTGAGGGGACATGAGTTAAATGAGCTACTGGCCATTCATGAATTCAGTATTTTGTAGTTTCTTCTTTTAATTATTCCAATTGTGTCTCTGTAGCTCCTCTTAAAGCAGAGCTTTCTCTACCAAAAATGTGTCCATCTCTAATTGCCTAAGCCAGATTATAAAGTATTACTAAGTTTTTCTAGGCAACAATGGAAGACATTTCCCTTACAATACTAAGTATTATTTCAAGAAAGAACCTTCAGCTACACTTATTTTTATATATGTGTTTATATATATATATACGTATGTTAAGCATTGTATATAACAAGATGTTTTCATCTTGTGAATTTATCTTAAATTTCTTACAAATAAATCCTGTGAACTAGTCATTACTGAAATGATTTTTTTCAAGACTGCAATAGACAGTTCTGTTAAAAAAATAACAATAACAAGTGAATGAAAAGGACATGGCGTGAATCTGGAATGCATCCACCATTATCCTGAACACAACAGCTTTCAGGCATACAGCCAGCTCTGAAGAGTTTGCAATCTTTGATACAGAGCCACACACACAGTCCAGAAAACACATTCCTACTTTAAACAGTTCATGGCTCTCTGATACAGGCATTGCCATCTTTTCACATGGCCTCACCTTTGCCTCAAGCTGTATTTTGTCTGAAAAAGCAACACCTGTCCTCAACATGCAGACATAGCATGAGACAGACACGTCCCCGGAAATTGAAACCTGAGGTAACCACAGATACGGGAAGGCAAAAAAAAAAAAAAAAAAAAAAAAAAAAAAAAAAAAAAAAAAGAACTACAGCTACTGCAGAGTAAAAACATGCAGAAAAAGAACACTTTTTCTTTCTGTATGTCAGCACAGACCTCTCTGCATCTCGTGTGTGAACAGCATTTCCCCTGGGACAATTTGAGAAGAGAAATTTCAGTTGAATCAACTGAACTGCTCTCCCAGAACTGACATTAAGTTCAAGGTATGGCATCGAAGAAACAGTGATGAAATGTTCCATACGTCCCCCTTTCAATTTCCTAGCTGAGCTAGAAAAAATCTGCGTTTCTCAAGGAAAGGAAGAGAGCTCAGAAGAGATGAAGTGTTAGTGGCGCAAGAAACAGAAAATGTACTGGAGAATCTCTTCTAATATTGCAGTACCTTGAGCTATAAAGTTGCTGGTAGCGGCCAGAAATAAGTGGGTGAGGGTATGACATCACATAATTCTTTCAATGCAGCAAAATTGAGCCCCAGTTGAAATAAATACAACTTTTGCTTGCATTACTGAATCCAGCATTTAGATTGGACAAACTGACAGACTGGCTCAAGTAAATTCTTCAACTCTTCATGATAAATTCAAGCAAAGTCCACATAATACCTAAATTACAAAAAATGCTTTAAATACTTCAGTTTAAAGTCTCCAGAGCTCAGTCTTCTAAATATAGAATGTGCTAGAAAAAAAGCTTTGAAGTGAAATGATGGAAGAAATACATGAATATATTCAAAGATATTACAGCTTTCTGAAGCATCAGGTTAAATATACAGAAGGTGACCCTGGCAGGTGGGCAGGCAGTCTTTACAGGAAGTTTGATACCAGTAGATAAAATGTAGGTCTAGGAAAACCAACAGGTTACATGGAGAAGCAAACAGAGAAGGCAAGAAAAAAGATAAAAAATGATGAATGTATACCTGTGATTATTATTATTGTTCCTATGGAAAATCATTTGTTAAGAGCTCTAGAGAACACGGTATCTTTGCAGAAATTGAAACATATCTTTTTTTTACTCATCCTGTGTGAAGAGTCATAGGATATGAGTTGAATGGCAGAGATAGAGGCAGAAAAAGTCTTGGAGAGAACATGTCAAGTTCCCAGTCATAAACATCTCAACCCAATGATACCTTGCCATGCTGCCTGTCCATTCAGTGCCACTCTCAAATTTTCTTGCCACAGTAACTGTGATCCACTATCAATCATGATGAGAGACAGAGGAAGGAAGATTAAAAAAAAAGTTCTTAATTACACTATTTGCACTGTAATCGTCTGCAACTGCTATAATTCACAAGCAGGTCTGTATTCGTTTTCCAGACAAGTTAGTACCTTCCCTGTAACTCGCTTCTAATTCCCCTGTAATCAACTACACACAGCCAAAGAAGCCCTATGTATTCTATTCTTACACTGTTCCATCCTTGTTCTGAGCAAATCTTCACAGTACGGGATGCCAGAAGGTCTCCTCTTCCTGGTCAAAGCAGGATTGGTTATGAGAACTGGCCAGTTGGTCAGGGCTACATCTAGTAGAGGCTTAGAGGACAAACAGCACAGCCTCCCTGAGAAACTGATTTGTTCCAGCACTTGAGTTCTCATATCCACTCCTATTCCCTCCTTTAAATTTACACCTCTTATCTCAACACAGCAATGAGCATGATTCCAGCTTCTTGATAACTTTTTCACAGTTACTGGAAGGCTGCTATTTTGCCCCCTACAAGTTGTCTCCTTCAGGTTAAATAAGCCCAGCTAAAATACTTTCAGCTGTTTTTTGTTCAAGTAAATGCAATTCTAGCCATAGGCCCCCAAGAAAGCAGAAGCCCTCAAGATAACTTGGATCTAAGCTCTTAGCTTAGATCAGTTCTCAAGTAAATTATAAATCAACTGTACTCTAATTAGAAACAGTCAGTCCCATTGGATGCAGAGAGGCTGAGAGCCTTCTGAAACTCTAGATACAATGCACAAATATATTTTATTCTACACCCATTGCTTCAGGAATGATACAAGGCTTCCAACTCACACAAAGTTAATGAGAGCAGAAGCCATTATTCTTCATTCCTCCTCTGAAGTTAGCTGAGAAGTAAATACACTTTCTGCACAGTACTGCATAGCTTAGAAACTCTATTTTTCAACAAAGGATCACATCCAAACCTACTACTAATTGATAGCAATGTTAAGAGACATTACTATCAAACCATTTAAAATTAGAACGTAACTTCTTTTACCTGAAGGTCACTGTCAAAATATTCGTAACATTTATAAACAAACAAAAAAGTTCATTAATGGTAAATTTCATATCAAAGGACGCATTAAAAAAAAAAAAAAAAAAAAAAAAAAGCTGATGTTCATGCAACAGCACTTTCTACTCACAACAACTGAGCCCACCAGGCTCCTCAACTAGTTCCACCATATCCAGGGATACACATCTGCTGAGGTCTAATACCAATTCAGGCACTGTTATCTCAGGAAACACAGAATCAGATCTCAAAACAATGAAAACATCTTAAAATGGGAAGCTACAGGGACAGATTTATACTGACTTAACCATCAAGTCTAGAGACCCAATCCTAGGTATAGCAAGTTCAGAAAAATAGACATAGTGTGAATGATCCTGTTCCCTCACAAGAGAACTTACACAGAGCTTAACTCAGGCTTA